GCCATATCGGAAATAGCTTCGGAGCAGGCGAAAAAAGAGGGGGGCGTCGGCGCGGTTGAAGCGGTAGTCCYTCTTGTCAATCTTGAGGGCTACTCTCAACGGTCGACACCTCCAATCTTAGGGGTGCTCTGGGTCCCCCTAATTTTGCTGCCTGGTCAAACCAGAATACCGTCATTGCACGGACATGTCCTTGCGCCTAAGTTCTAAAACTGCCACTTTCAGGCGACGCACTACTTGTGGCCGCCTGACACCGTTCTAAGATGGCCCACCGGGAAGGCTGCCATGATCTGCATATGGTTCGACAAGGGGTGGGGTATACACCATGTCTCGTTCCCACATTGATATATTGTGTGCGAGACCCAGATCATATCTACTCGACTGCGACGGTCCAGTGTTGGGCCCAGCCAGGTGAAGAGCTGATCATCAGGGTGCGCTGTGCGATAAGCATCCACACAGCCCAGATCAGCCATCAGCAACTGTAGGGCTTCTGCATCAGCTGCCGGGGGTCTGTCCACCACTAAGTCGAGGCCTTGCTGGATGGTCGTGTTAAAGTCCCCTACGATAACATAGCCCTCTGCCTCAGGGATCCATCTCCGCAAATCACCCCGTAGTTCTCGCTGCTCCCTCGGGTTAGATGGTCCATAGATAGTCGTCACGCACCATCTCACTCTTCCCCACTTCAGCAGTATCCATGCCCATCTCCCCATCTGATCCAGTGCCAGTCCACAACCTCCCCTCGAAAGTGCTGGGAGAGTAGTATGGCCACCCCCCCTCGAGCGCCCCGGTCACCGCCACCCTGGGCCGGGGCCCAGATTTGGTGCCCTTTCCACCAAGGCGCATACAGGGCACAAAACCCTTCCCCCAGCTTGGTCTCCTGCAGGCAGACAACATTTATCTGGTGTTTGCGGACAGCTCGCTGCAGCTCCCATTGCTTGGGGTTGAGTGATCGCGTTGACAGGCCCCGGACATTCCATGACAACACCTTCAACTTCGAGAGACGCAGGGGGTGATTCATTATGAAGTGCACACAGTAAAGAAAAATCCCAAAAAAGTAGAGACAGAACACACACAGAGCACACACTCAGAATACACACAGCCCACACCAATCACACAAAATTACAAACAACTATACAGGTGCAATCACATCACACAGGTAGACAAAAAGCCCAAAAGGTCAGAGCAAACAAAGGCAGAGAGAACAAGCAAACTAAGAAGGCACAAAGGGGGGCAAAGAATGGCTCGAAAAACAAAAAACAGACAAACAAAAACAGGACAAACGTCGACAATGAAAAACGAATCAGAAAAACAAATCAAAGAGCAACGTGCCCTAAACTCTAAATTCGGGAGGGAGTGCTCTCACCATGAGGCACTCCATAATTAACACAGCTTATATACCAATCCTAATTCCTAAAAACGACACTCGGTTTTCCACCAGCCCGCAGCATGGTATAAGTTTGGGGATCCAATTCGCTGACTCTCCGGAAGCAGATCATTAACCTTGTGAAGGATCGCCCCAGTGAACTCGTTAACAATCTTAAAGGTCTCCGGCATAGAGCGTGGGCTGAAGAGGTTGGCAAAAGTCGTCCATGTTGCCTCCTTATGCACGAAGGCCAAAGAGCCTGGGCGCTTCGAAGTGATTTCCGCGAAAAAGAACAGGAGACCATATTCATTTCCCTGCGCCGGCTGCCGAAAGAATCTGCCCACCGAAACCCTGGGGAGCACTTTCACACGATAGTTCGGGCCCATCCATCGGCAAATCTGACGATAAACATTGACATTTTTGGGAAGCGACCGGGTGGTTTAGGAGAAGAGCTCCGATCCACCTCTCGTAGCCACATTGATGTCATCCCCCGCCCACCACAGCATCACAAGGCAGATATTACAGTCCCCTGCGTCCAAAATCCGTTGCAGCTGGCCTTGCGCTGCCAAAGTCACGGTGAGGGGGTCATCCCCCCCCTCCCCTTCCTCCGTCGAGTCTTCGCCTTCGTCCAGGATCAGAGGCTCCTCCTGATCCATTGCGTCAGCACCCGGGTCCCCTGGGTGCCGCGATTCCGCCATCTGCGAGTACAGTTCAATAGGGCCACCTCCGTGTCCCCCCCCCCCCCCCCCCGCTTCAATCGCTCCGGGGAGCTCAGGCGCTCCCGACCATCTCTTCTACATTTGCGGGGGGGGGGGGCGGGAGCGATCCCTCTCCCTTGCGACCGCATCCAAAACCATATCTTGCTCCCCACCGTCGTCCAACTTTCAGCGCACAGGGGAGACAGTTCGCTCTTTTTCCCTCGTCACCCGCTTGCAGGGCGACCTCGATCGCTCCCGCACCTGTGCTCATGAGCGGGGATCCTTTACGTCGCCTCTCCCCTCCTGCTTGGTCCCCGATGCTGCCGAAGCCACTGCATGTGAGTCCTCTTTGGGGGGGCAGAGGACAATTGCTTTCTTCTACTTCCAATCTTGGCGCGTGTGCTGGTCACGTCCCTAGCGTCCTCTGCGCCAGAAGCGGGAAGACTAGCTTTAAGATTCATGGTAAAATCCGCAGGGGCCGACACCCCTGCACTCAATGCCTCACCACCCACAGCCCCTCGGTCATGCACGTCCCTAAACTCCTCCTTTCGATCAACCCTCTCACCTTCTTCCTTCTGGGAAAGAAACAGGACAATCGGGAGCGCATCCTTGTGAGCAAGGTCGTCGCTCTGCACCTGCCTGTCCCCTGCCACACCCCGATGTACCGTTGTCTCSCCCCCAGTTGTGTCCCCACTTATGTTCTGTGGTCCATCCTTCTCGCCTGCTCCAACCCTTGTGCGAGTAACGCCCTTCTCCAGTCCTTGGGCATCTGCCCGGCTGTCCAGCGTTTCCGCACGTCGATTAGCGGCTCCCGTATAACCACCGACTGGGTCCCACCGAGTCAACCGCCTCGGGATCCCCTCCCACCCCCSACACATCTGCGCCCGCGTGATCCAACGAACCACGTCGTCCACGATTACCCGCTTGTCTTGCCAGTCCTCGGGCCGCAGGCCTTGCTCGCYTGTGCCCATATCACCGGCTGACAGGTGAGTAGCAGGGCCATCGTTYGGCGACACCCCTGGATTACACCCCGTCACCACCACACATCGGGCCATCGGCCCGGGGACATCCAAAACTTGTCCCTGCTGCAGTTCAACGTGATTGCTCTCCCCCCCCTGATCCGTCCCGCCTTCACGACTTTGCCCCTCGCGGGCGTCCGCGATCTTGTCCTCCTCCAAGYCTCGCAATTCGTCCTCCCCTTTTGGCTGGTCCGCTACTTCCTTCTCCACCACGGGGCATCGTCCCCGTTCGTCCATAGATCGGTTCTCCCCGGGTTCCTAGTCATTACCGTCTTTGCCCTGCTCAGGAATCAAAGCCTCCATAGGTCGATGTTCCCCGGGCTCTCGGTCAGTGGTCGCACGGTCCTTCTCGTGACCCAGCGGGCCTGCAGAGCCTGGGTCCCCCCCAGGAGCTTGCTCCTTTTCCTCCCGGGGTCGAGTCACCCCCCCCTCCCGCTGATCGCCCTCATTATCCTCCCCTTGCGCCGATGGTCATGTGGGCCGCTGATCCACTGAGGGATCRTGTCCCTTCTCCTTCCATCGCTTCTCCCCCGGCACCCGGTCATTGGTCGTGTGAGCCTGTTCCCCATCCGGGTCCTTCCTCTTCTTGCCGTCATCCCCGAACAGCCAGGTCGGGAGGTCCGTCTGCATATAATCATTGGTATCCATCGGGGTCGGCTTGTTCTGGGGCTCCTTCATTGCCGGTTGAGGTCGGCGAGCGCGTCGCCGCTGAAAGAGGGCTGGCTTAACCGGGGAGTGGCCCACCTTCACTCCCCCAATCTCTACTCCCCTGAGTTGCGCCTCTCGTAACTTCTGCAAAATCTCCCCGCCGAAGGCACTTTCCACCTCCTTCCACGCTCGTCGCTCCTCGTCCAGCGATGATTTCAGGATAGGGTCCATATGTCTCCGCATCTCCCGCTCCTGTAACTCTTTGATCAATTCCGTCCGGGATAGACATCAGCCTTCCTTACCCAGATGACCGTGGGAGAAGCATACATCACAAAATGGAGTATCACTCGTTACGAACCSCAGCTCCTGCATCGACGTCGGGCCAAGGGCCATCGCAACCCTGTCCACGTATTTTGACTTACGCGGACCCCTCACTACATACTTCCSGTATTCTTTGTCCTCGTCASCGAAAGCAGCSCTCRAGACTATATCCCCAAAGAGGCATTCAACCATCTGCTCTTCCAAAGGAGCAATATATGACGGGGGGCTAAACACTTTTACCCACGGCCACGCCCGTCGCTCTTCCTCCTTCTGGAGTTCCATCTCCGCGGGTGATCTCCACGGAGACAGGGGGACGTCGAATCTCACGTCCCCCACCATCATGGTTTCTGTTTTCTGGTCTGTCACCAGCCAATCTCGAATATCCGCGGATGGGGCTGTATACACCACCGTTCTTGCCCCCTCGATGTCTATAGTACCCTTCCACGGTCCTCGTCCCACAAGACAAAGCTCCTCTTTGGCTGCTGCGCACGCCTTTTTCATACTACGTCACCAGTGCACCGCAGCGTCGGGCAGTCTTATCACCACCACGTGGGTTCTAGCATATGTGGTCAGTAAGTATCCCAAATCCGACGCCGGCCGACCGATCACCACTCCCCCTTCCACMGAGACAGCGAGCAGGTCCGTTGACTTGATCTGTAGTCCTAGCAGATAGGCCCGTCGAAGCATCCGCATCAGGGCCAGCCGCTGGGCCTCCATTTGTTCCCACACCACGCTACGTTACTATGTATATTACCCTCCCAACCACACCCAATTCCTCCTCCCGTACCTCCTTCTCCCTTTCGCAGGCCGTGCCCGCACCTCCTTGCTCGGAGTTAGTAAGCGAGGCTCCCCGAATCCGGGGTCGGCCAGTCAGCAAGGCAGCTCGTACCGTTATGACACAATCACACACAGCGCCTTCTGTCCCCAGGCAGGGTCTCATGGCACAGCCCGTGCCCACCCCCCTGCACGACACCCSCCCATCTTGCACTCCCTCCCTACCTAACGTACACTAAATCGGTGCCCCCCTCCTAAMCTCCACCTTCTCTAATCCCCACAAGCCAGATGGCGTTCGGTGACAAAGGGCAGTAGGGACAAGAGCTGCGAGCGCATTCCGCCGCCGCCACGCACCAAAGTCCGTCCTCACGCTCCAAGCGCCGAGCTTCGTTACACAGAGAGTTCGCTTGCCCTTACCCCTCCCCGTCACCCCTGACCCATCACTTTCATCACTCCCGAGGGTCAATGCGCGGCCACCAAACGAAGCAATTTTCCCAGTCGTCAACACAAGCCCGCGCCGTCAACACGAATTTGCGCCACCAGAGCACCAAGGCCCGGCCAGCCAGCCCGCCCGCCACGCGCTGCGCCAGCGAAACCCTACAAGCCGGACGTCAACACAAATTCCCGCCGTCACCGTAGGCCCGCCACGCGCCCCACCGCCAAAAAAAACAGGACCGAAAAAAATCGCGCGGCAGTTCGCCGCGCGGTCAAAATCCCACCCGCTCCAGAACCCCACGCTGCGCTCTACACTACGCTAATTTTGCTGCGCTAATTTTCGCCATTCGCAGTTTCACAGTGCAAAGTGTTGACACTGAGACGTGCATGGCTTAGTCTTTGAGACAAGCATATGACTACTGGCAGGATCAACCAGGTAGAGGGTGTGACGAGCAGCCGCAAGGAGCGATGGCCGAGGCGCACGTAGGCACGTCACGCCGGACAGCCTACCAAAAGAACGTCGAACAATCGTGGAACGTGCAATGAGCTGCCGAGACGCCGCGAA